ATTACGAGGTTGATGAAAACAGATCCGGCGATGGTGGATCGAGCTCGAAACGGATCTGGGGGAGACAAGAAGACGGCTGTGAGAACATATCCGGCGGCTGTGTGATGAGCTCTAGTTCGGCGGCTGTGTGATGAGCTTTTGGTAGGCGCGGTGAGCTTGGAGATGGAGAGCTCGGCGACGGTTCACGGGTCCTATCCCGGACCTGTCTCAGTGTGCGAATCTCTTCGTTTTGCAGCTCCGGGACAATCAGTTCACTGGTGTCGTGCCTCCGATGCTGAGTTCTCTTCCCAAATTGGTGAATGTCTCATTGCAGAACAATAAATTGCAGGGTCTAATGTCTGTAATTTGGAAAAGAATTTAGACATAGAGAGAGAGAAAGAAGGTAGGATTGGCATTTTCAATTTACAGCATATGCATGTGATTATTTTACGGTCAAAATTTATTGGATCAGTGTCACCTGGCATTTTTTACAAAATGTGTGATAGTTTATGGAGTTTTCTGTTAAAAAAATAGTTCGGGGAGTTTTTTTTGGGAGAGGGAGTAAAGTTCGGCTCGGGGGTTTATTTATTTATTTTTTTTTTTGCACATTACCCTAAAAACAAAATAATGAGTTGACCAAAAGCCTCAATCATTTCAAAGGGGTAAACAAGATAAGACTGGAGTCCTTAAAGTGTGACAACGACCTTTCTTTCATCAATCGTCATATAAGATAAATTTGAAAATAACATGTACCAACCATCCAAACAACCCCTTATCATAGTAAATTACAAAATAAGATGCAAGCTATGGTAGTACTACAGCAGTGCAAACATTTATGTCTTCCATGTGAACACTCACACGACTAACAGTAATGGTCGGTACGCATGTCAGACTCTCAGAATCTGATTTTGAAAAGCCCTAGGGTTTTCCTAGACTGACCAACTCTATTCAAGTCTTTGTTACATCAAATTCTAATAATTTAGAGGGCTTCCCATTCTCTCTCTCACAATTAATTAATCTCCTGTTGCTGTTATTTTAAAGTAAATTAAGACCTTTTTTTTTTTGTTGAATTGGTGAAAATTCGGAATATTTTGTTCTTCCCTTTTTTTCTTTTTCTTTTTTTAAGTAAATCGCACCCGGTTAATTGTCATGGGCACTTTTCACTTCAGAAAGTCATTGCAGTCACTCAACCCTATCTTATCTACCTTAATGGGAGAGTCTTTATGTAATGCTCACCGTGAATGAAAGATAAAATTTAATTTTAGAGAACTGCAGTCATTCTTACTTAAAAGTTCAAACTTTTTTGACACGAGACAAGATTTTACAAGAAGTAATGAACTAAGAACGCTTATGTCCCAGGTTCAAGTTCGTCCATGATCATTATAACTCTCGACTGAAATTGTTATTGAGGTGTGGAGCCGTCGACAGTATTCTTAATTTGTAGCTTGAGGTAAGTCCCGAAGGGACTCTAGGTAAATTCTGTTGCCAGCAAAAAAAAAAAAGAAAAAAAAAAAAAAAGTAATTCACAACGTTTATTTGAAATTTGACTTCCTGACTTTTCAATTTGGAACCACTCCCTTGTCTTCATACAGTATGGTCAAGGGATTTTTTTGGGTACTGATAAAAGAAACTCACATTTTTTTTTTTTTTGGAAAGACAACCCCTTACATTTTATTTTCTATTTGACCATGGGCCTTGGTAGAATGCACCATTACTTAACAGTTAACATAGACTATTTTATTTAATTATTTATTTTTATTTTTATAGAAATTAAACTTTTGTGACTGGAGGAAAAAAAAAGGCCAATTGATTTGAAAGATTAAAACTTGCACAGTCATTCTTTCTTTCTTATATATTTATTGATACGCAGTATTCAACTGATTAGAAGTTCAAAAGGTACAATACGTACACTTGAACAAGGTACCACAAAAATTCCTAATTAAAGCCTGTCTCCTTCTTTAACTTTCCCGATTTAGTACTAATTTGGGGTTGGAGCCCTTAGGCCGGTACCCCTCCGGTTACTTTTTCTTCTATTTCATGTCGTAGTAGAATCCTGCATCGTATATATATAATCTACTATACAATGGAATTATATACTACTATATATATATATATATATATATATATATATATATGGTGACAGAGCACACAAACACAGTGAGTGAACCAACCGCCTAATTTTAGGAATGGTCTTCATCAAGTTGTCAAAGACTTTATAGTAGATGAGGCTAAATGTGAAACAGAGTGCCAGCAATTTTAAAAAGGACTGACTAGAAATAAATAAACTAAGGAGCTACTGTCACACACATTCATATCCTTCCCATTCGGATCAGATAAGATTACGAATCTCAGAGAAGTGGCACACCAATTGTGGTGCTTAGTGATAAAGGCTGTGTGTCAAAAAAATTGCACCATCATTTGGCTATTAATGTGTAATGTTGATTTAATTTTGTTCCTTAAATGCTGTAGATTGAGTTAATAACATTATACATATAGGATGTGGCAATCCAGCAATCTGAAAGGGAGGCGAACTCGGCTCTCCTATTCAAGTGACCTGAGTGTATTCAAAGGAGAGTCTTATTCGACTCCCCCTTTAACTACTCTCTTTAGAAAGAGTATCACCGGAAAAGTCAATTCGAATTCATTAGTTTCTCTTAATTACTAATCAAAAAATATATTTATATTTCTAATTGAAAGCACGACCACTAGTCGTAATAAGAAATACTCACATACTCATTTTGCTGCTAAATCAACTTGATCGAACTTTCAACCTTTACTTTAAAAAGTAAATATATTCACACACGTGCACCCTAATTGGGATCAAAACTCTTCCCTATGGAGCCCTATGAATATTGAAATCTAAGATCTAATTGTATATCATTTTGAAATATTGGAGTTTTATCAAGTAGTAATAGGAACGGATCCTCTCTAATAAAAATTCTCTTTAAGTATCTACAGGTATTAATTCTACGACTACTAAGGCGCCACGTGAACAACTTTTTTAACTCACTAAATATATTATAAGTTATTACAATTTCTTAAAATATCTAACTATGTTAAATTACAGGTTTACCCACATTACAAAAAAAAAAAAAAAAAAGAAAAAAAAAAAAAAAAACCTTTTTTTCTCTTTATTATCTCTTCCTTCTCTCTCTTATATATAACATATACACACACACACACATGGCTAGAACAGACCTAGTTTGTTCCTTTTCTTGATCCGCCATTGACAACTCTCTCTCTCAAACCTCCTCTTTCTTTCTTTATTTCTATGTCGTTTCAGAGAGTTGTGTATCTCATCGAATTGGGTTCACAAGAATCCATTAAAAAGTGGCAAACAAATGCTTCAAACCTTAAATCAACAAAACTGCTCAAGCTTGAAGCCTTGAATCAATTAATAATCCCAATGTTTGGTGATAGCAATCAACAAAACTATTCAAACTCTTAAATATATATTATTGGAGAACTATAATTGAATTTCTTAAATCGGATATAAATACAAGTTGAAGTACCATAATCAATTTTAATTGGAATTGACAAAAATAAAAAATCGATTCAACAGTAAAGAAGAGAGTTGAATCGTATATAATCTGTATATATAAATATATATATATATATATATATTTATATATATGAGAGAGAAGGAAGAAAAAAAGTTTTTTTTTAATGTGGATAAACTTGCAATTTAATATAATTAGATTATATTTTAAGAAAGTGCAGTAACTTTTAATATATTTAGTAAGTTAAAGAAGTTGTCTCTTGCCCTTCCCGTAGGAATATATTATAGAAATCTACACAGGATCAGTAGTAGTACTATTATAGTTATATTTTAAATATTAAAATCCCCAGCATTGAAGTCCAACCATCACATTTTTCAAAAACAGTTGATCCACCAGCAGAAATGGCAAACATAAGGTAGAAAAATGTCACCTCATTGAATCTTGAAAATGTATCATTCACATCTACAGTTCAACACTTTTCTTTACCAACTCATTTTTTCCCATTTTGGCTAGCATTGGCAATTTGGCACAAACATCAAAAACTAGTATTTTGCTCTTCAATATTAAACTAATTATCTAAACTCACATAATATGATGAAAACTACCAAAATGAATAGTTGTTATGATCATACTTCTTTCTCCAATTTTTAACAAAAAATTAAATGGTTTAATTTGCTTTAATATATATATATATATATATATATATATATTTGTATATACATAGATTCCAATAACAATTCATACAACCACATGGAGGAAAAGCTCCCATTTCTGACAATCAAATGGACGAAAAGCTCCCAGTAAAAAAAAAAAAAATTTAAAATTGATATTGCAAAATTTGACGCCAAATAACATCTGCAGGAAAGAAAAAGATTGGAATTTTACCGAATGAGAGGTGTGGCCATGGCTGGTGTCGGTGCCTGTGCCATGTCAAAAAACAGCAGCTAATGAAATGCCTATGTAGATACAACTCCATATTCATTACCAAAGGCACACAGAGCCAAAATCTTAGTTACACGTAGTGGAAGCAGAAAGCCAACGTGCAGAGTGTGAGTTTCATACGAGAACCACCCATTCAGAAGAATTGTGTGACTAGTTCATTACCACTTTTCCTCCCCATCTTCTTTAGTTTAGGCAAAGCTCAGGTCTACTGATTATGAAAGCTGTAAATCCATTCTAAGAGTTTCCAAGCTATAGACTATCATCGTTAACCAATAGTTGCCACAATACATATGCAATATCAGATTCATTTTCAATACAATGCCCAAACTGAGTTTCTGGGCATTCCAAGCAATCCTCGTAGCAATCTGAACAAACCAAAACATTATAAACAGAATTTATACTTGTAGTCATGCACTTTATGGATCATTTGACTTGCAGCAGAGAAAGGAAATAAAGATAACTATACCGAAGGTCCGAAAAACTTGTACATGGTGAAAAGCAGTTTTATATCCTGCCATTGACAATCATCAAAGTATATATACATGGAGCCTCTATACAAAACTTTATTTAAGGTGATAGTAACAAAAAGAAATCAATCAGCCTTCCTCATAATAGTCGTCCTTATATTACAAAAAAGAAGCTGGCGGGAAACACATCAAACCTTAGATGACAGGATAAGGTAGTGGTGGGTTTCTGCTCTTCAATCAAACTACTTACATATTAGAGGAGAGACAGATCAATGGCAAAAACATATGTGATATATACATTACTACTAAAATCACTCTGCGTTCAAAAAGGAAATATCAAAACTCATTTGCTTGCTTGCATCTCTTTCATGTGTCAATTTTGCTGTGTTTAGACTGGTGGCATTTAGCTTCCATATGTACAGTTTCATCAATGAAGTTTTATGCCACGGCAGATATCCTGGAACTTCGGCGGTCCCTGTTAAGGCATTCAAAACCTTCTACTCTAACAGCTGCCGGTTTGTGCCCAACCTTCATCCTAGCACACCCTCCTTTACAAGCTGATGAAGATGAAGACGACAAACTCGAAGGGGATGTGATTGACAAAGCTGATAATGAGGTCAGCTTTTCATCCCCAAATCGGGCGTCTTGGATTAATGGGTTGGCAACCCTGCTCGGGGGCGATCCGGTAAAAAAAGGGGGCGATGATGCCAACTGTGTTGCAGATTGTTCTGAACCAAAGCCTTCCTGTCAAACAAGGCGGCGATAACTCAGAGTTGCGTTTTATTCTGAATCCCTGATATCTAACTACCAACTGAACCATCCAGTACACATTTAAAGGTAAAAAATAATAATAAAAAAATAAATAAAAATAAAAAATAAAAATAAAAAAATCATCCAAAATGTCTTGTTCATACTGGTAAGTACACTTCCAAAATCACACAAATAAATAAAACAAAAACAAAACAGCAAGTTGTGCATCAAGTCATTACAGTGTTTAGGGAATTTGAATACATCCCATAAATTATTCAAAACAAGTGCACGTGGCTGTAATATACATGAGTTTATGCGCCTCCACGGTCTCCCCTATATAAAGGAAGAAAATCTGGAGGCAATTTATTGGACAGCAGTCACACAACCAATTTCAAAGATTCGCCAAGAAAACTCAATCCAACAACAAATGCCACTTGGAAATGATGTAAAAACAAGTTGTACCAATCAAATGTTCAAAGAATCTATTGTGTTTAGTGGATGACAAATTTTAGCAAGACATTTCTGAATACAAGCAATTTCCTATCACATATTTCCAAATAAACACTGAATCTACAATCAAATTACTTCCAGCAATAATTGAACAAAAATTAGTTATCAAATTAACCACAAATTTCTAGGGAACATCCAATCAACAGTCTTGCATGGGTACAGATTTTATTTTTGAATTTCAAGGAAACAGCATGAATACTTAAATGAAACTCTATTCGGCTTGATTATGGCATACATCAAAGTAATCGATGAAATTGTTCAATGATTGATCCCAAAACCAAAATCATGTTTGTTCCATCTTAAGAGCTTATATAAACATATTATCTTTTCCTTTTCTTCTTAAGTTTAAAAGATACATAATTTATAAATCAATAAACATATGGTACATACATTTATTCATCTACATACACCAATGTATACTAAATATATATATAAAATAAATATATAAAAAAAGAAAAGGAGATGTATAAATTTTAGTATTTACCTTCTTAAGAATTAAATCAAGTAGTTCTGCTCCCGCCTTTGAATCAAAAACCTCGGCTTGGCTGTTATTCCAAATATAAAAAAGAAAAAAAAAGAACTCAGCTTTTAATTGTTCAATAATTTAAATAACCTACAAGAGAAATGTGATGAACAATTTAGGCCTCGTTTGGTAACCGTTTTTGTTTATCATTTAAGCTTAAACATAATGAGTGATTATGTGTAGCTTTGATAACGTAAAAATGTTTTGTCTTATTTTAAAAACAATAAACAGAAAAACATATTTGTTACTGATTTTAAAAAATTCAACATTAGTTTCAAAATAATAATAAAAGCTTTTATGAAGTACCCAATTATTTCTTACTTATAATGGCTTTCAAGTAACAAATTACTACTCCAATCATTTTTTTCTCCAAAAGATTCTCATAGTTTAAGTAATATTTCAAGATACCCATTACGAAGACCCACCAAAAGAATATAAGAATGAAGCTTTGGATTTATTCTTGCTCTTTGGCTTTGATATACAAAGACAAGTTCACTGTTTGACCCACTTCTTTTCCAACTAATATAGACAGTTTATATCATATATATTGTTCAATATTTTGTCTCATTTGTTGATACACTTCCATTGGTACCATTGCCACTAATATATAGTGTATGATGTATCTATACATATAGCTCATTATGTACGTATATATGTACTTGAAGCTCTTATATGGAGTTTTGTCGATGTTGATCAGAGTTCCTTGGTATCCCATCTTTACAGACTTGAAGTTCAGTAGCTCTATGTATGTATGTGTGTGTGTGTGTGTGTGTGTGTGTGTGTGTGTGTGTATAAACACCCAACTCTTTTTACTCTCTCTTTCTTCATTGGACTCCTAGATCATGTAACAAGGTTGCTCACAACCTTAGCAAATGGGGGATGCTCGTCGTCAACAAATCACTAATCACTGGAATGTATGGCCTTCTTGGTTATCTAAAGACAGAGGATGATATTCGTTTTGCTTCTTAGCTCTATGTTTTCTTCATGCAAAATAAATAAATTAATTAATTAAATTAAATTAAATTAAATTAAAGACCATAAACATAAACATAAACAAAAAAACCATAAACATCATTTTGACATTTATAAAATTGGCCTGTGTTATATAATCGATAAACAAAAACAATATTAACACGTGTTTTCCTTTGAAATCTGTTTATATAAACAATAAATTATAAAAATAAATAGTTACCAAACAAGGTCTTAATTACCTTATTTGACACCTTAAAGGCCTCACAGGATTGTTAATTACAAGCCCAAGACGCCGAGGTTTGGGGTAAACAACCGGATCCTTCCGATCAGAGATATAGACAGACCCTCTGATCCCTTCATTCGCCCCCACAAAGGTGTTGTTCTGCTGATGATCCCAATAATTCATCTTCACAAGCAGCAGCAGAACCCCTATTCATCAATATCAACCCAACATTTTCAAACTATTAGTCAACCCCAAAAATGAGAATTCAAAATCCAACAACAACAAATAAAAATAAAAATATTATTCTACCAATTATATTTCACATGTTATTCAGACAGATCCAGGTTTGTATCCGCAGACATGAGAATTCAAGGCCACGAGGTTCCAACTAAAAGTATATCAGATGGGGAAAATGTACTGTATTACTTCATTTTCCGGTGTGAAGAAAAATACATAATTTCCCGATAAAATTATTCAACCGATTACTTTCGGTTGATAACGTATAATTCTCAGCTAATATATGAAAGAAAAAATCAAAAAAATTAGCAAATCCTCCGCTTTTCTAGAGATCAATTATGAACACAGATAATTAAAGCGAGTACAGATTGAATTCATACATGAGTCGTCAGATCTATTCTAGAGAGAGAAAGTAGGGTTTCTGGCACTAACTAAATTTAGACAGAAATGATCGTAAACACACACAACACGATCAGATCAACAGAGTATGAAGCCTAAAAATAAATTAAATAATTGTCTCAAAATAGAAAAAATAATAGAGAACAAAATTAAATAACTACAACAAGTGAAGAACATGTATAATATATGATAAATAAATGTATATATATATGACAAATACATGTACTACATAATATCAATATATAATACAGAGAGATACATGTATATGTGTGTAGAGAGAGAAAAAGACAGAGAGGAGTGAGAAAACCTTGGCTAGGAAGCCGCCAGAGGAAGAAGCGAACTCGGTGCCACAAAGAAAGCAAATGAGTGGAAATGGAAGTCTACTTTATAGAGAAAATGAGAATCAATTTTATTACTGGACGGCATTAAGAGCCAAAATTATGTTGCTTTCCCGGTAAAAATTAAAGATGCCACGTGATTCAATTGGATGTTTATCTCAATCAAAATACTCAAACTCGTTTTCTGTAAAAATAAAAATAAAAATTATTATTATTATCAATAATGTATATATTTTCTACCTCTATATAACTAATTTTGAAATATATTTTGATTATTTATAGAACTCTAGCTTTTTTTGTTCTTTTTCTTTTTTTGACTGTTCATACGAGACTATTCCTTCCTAATACAAATAGCACCTCACAAATAAAGTGCAACGAACAAGTCCAACCAAGTATAATAGTACTTGGGTAATTAGTTAACTCGATTTAGTTAGATGAAAATTAATAATGACAAGAAAAAGAAAGAGAATTGAATGAACAAATAAATAATTTTTTTATCGTGTTTTTATAGTTTGAATAGTGTGAACCTTCAATTTTTTTCTTTTTTTCTTTTTTCTGATAGGAAAATTTTGTGAAAAAATTAAGTGGTTATGAAAAATTACTTTTTCACAAAGTTTTCCTTTTATTCAAACTCTTAAAAAAGTCTTTAAAATTTTTCTTCCCTTTTATTCTATTTTCATCTAACCAAACTAAAGACATGAAGCATTAGGAAGAAAAAAAATTGTGTGTTTAATGTAATTGGATCGTAATTTAAACGTCCTTTACTGCATTTTAAATTTCGTTTACTATATATTTTCATTAATTCTTGATACAATTAAGGAACTAAATTTGAATTGTAAACAAGATTAGAATGGAAAGAAATCCAAATTTCAATCTTTCATTCACTTCAAATGTCGAGGACTCTCCTATAAAATACGTAGTAAACATTCAAATTCATCTCATCACTAATAAACGTGGATAATGTTTTATCTGACCACGTTTAGTAAACTCCATTACCGTTATAAACGCTCTGACCAATCCATTTAAAATTACATTAATTATAACACGTGTAACACATTTATTTAATTTTTTTTTTCAAAATTTATTTTAGAAATATAATTACTTCAAAACAACTTATTATAATATTTTTTAAAAAATATAGATGAGATAATAATAGTTTTGTTACGTTATAAAAAAATAGTTGAATTAAAAATTCAAAAATAAATAGTTAATAGAAATAAAGTGCTTTTAATATTAAATATTTTTATTAATTATTATACAAAAACAATAATCTATTGTGTGGGATGATAAGAGTATGCTCAAACCCGTGAACCAATCCATTTATTAAATAAATGTGGTCATAAATTTGAATCATGGTTCGCAGTATCGGTCACGGTCTCGTTATAACAAATTCGGTCGGATTTGAAAAAAAATTGCGTATCGGCCGATATGTTGTGTATTGGCTAATATATTGCATATCGGACGATACGACGACCCATCATTTGAACGTAAAACCCTCCATTTGTAAGAGATTGTGATTTTTTTTTTTTTTTTTTTACCTGATTGGATGAAAGATGAGAGAATAAACTTACAATTTACTTAGAGCAGTAATTTTAAGTATTTATATAATTTAGGATAGTAGCTTTGAAAGTTTTTAATACTATAACCTTATATTTTTATCTAAGGATCTTTGTGGGTATTTTTTTTTTTAAAAAAAAATTATTTTTGAAACTTATTATTATTGATGTTACATATATAAGACCATGATCCTTCAATTTTAATTAAAAATTGATTTTAACACGTGTACGCATTTTTGCTTTACATCTTGTTCGTGTTCACAGTCGGACGAATTAGGAAGGGGGGGACATCAAATCAAGCATAACTTTATTTGAGTTTGATTTGTATCCAAATCTCTTTCCTTTCACATTTAATAATATGACACTGATATTATGTTTTTTTTTTTTTTTTTTTTTTATTTTTAAGTTAACCCAAAGAGGCACGGATTCTTGAAATCTCTTAATAACTTGATTAATTTTTGAAGGTTTGGAGAGTGCTTCGCCATTCAGTCTAAGTAAGTCACTATAAAAATAATAAAAATTAGTCACAATGAACACCCAACAAAATTCGAATTCCAAACCTTAAACTTATTAAATTACACAATTCAATAAATAAATTGTTGTACCATATTCAAAATAACACTGATATCATATTATCTACGTGATGGTGGAGTAGTAATTTGTGGGAAATGACAGATTCACCCCTGCTAGACCCGGCAATGAAAAATAATGGTTCACAATTTGTGATGGGTCCAATCGTGTACGGACCAATATACCTCTCTTTTTTCTTTTCTGATTATTCTCGGTGGTGCTGTCCAACCGAAAACCACCTTTACAATACATGTGTATCGTGTTTCTCCTTTCCATTGGACGGTGGAAGAGCATCTCTCAACCACACTCCATTGCATCTCCCCTTTAAATAATTGAGCATCAAAATGCAATTGAAACTCCCATGTTTGGGTAGACTTAAATAGATTTTCAGTTGTTATGGATAGTTTAGTTAGTAGAGCGTGGAACTTCTCAAATGAATATTTTTATATTTGAATCTTCTGTCTCTTTAGTTTACAAGAAAAATTATTTAATAAAACATTTTATCTATATATAATATTTAATTTCTTAAAATGATTTTTTATGATTTCATTCCACCAAAACTTTGGTTGTCTTTTTTGTCTCTTACATTTGATGCAAGTTACTCTTTCTTCTTATAAGTATAATATCATTTAAGTCCAATTTATTTTATTTTCTCTCACTCTTAATTTTCTCTGTAATTCCAATAGTAGTCATATATCTTCTAATTATCTCAACCATCAATTTTGACATTCTCATTTCCGCTACATCAAGACTTTATTTTTACACAATTTTTCAGAGCACTGATCCATTTTTATTTATACCATAACCATTTATCCATGTCCTTTTTAATATTAATCCTAAATATTGGTTATTTTGAATAATAATTTGGTTTTGCAGTGTAGTGATTATATTATAATATCAATTTTTTAATAAAATTTTTAGTTCTTTTTATTCTAAATCATCCCTCCGCATTTTCAATTCTTTTGATTTTAACACTTTAAAGTTTCAGAATCATCATCATTCTTGCCTTAATTCTGTATAGGGCTGCAAGTTGGGCTGACCCAACTTAGCCCAGACCTAACCCAACCTTAACCCGAATCAGGTTGGGTTGGGCCAGCCCGAATTGTATCCAACATAGGTTGTGGTAAAACCTAGTCCGAATATTTTCGGGTTTTTCGAGTCGGGTTGATGGGTTGAGTTTTTTAAAAAATTAATTAATTTTTTTTTTCTCAGAAATTTATATATATTATATAGATATATATATATTTGATTATATTATTATTATTATTATTATTTTATCTGAATTATATTATTATTAAAAAACAACAAAATTTTAGGACAAATCATTTTAGCCTCCACAATCGCAGGTCTCATTCTCAACTCTCTGCAACTGCAACTGCAAACTACAAAATCTACAAGAATCAGAAGTTCAAAACCCATATATTTTCAGATCTGTCTGCAAGAATCAGAAGTCCAAAACCCGTATATTTTTAGATCTCAGTGTTAATTTTATTTATTTATTTTAAAGCCCAGATGTGGTTCCTCCAAATCACTACCACCACTCGCCGGAATCAGATGCCAACTGCAGAGCTCCTCCTCCGCCGCCGCCCGAAGAAGAAATCGTCAAAGAAGTGCTCACCGAGAGACCCATTCCTAAACCACCCATTTCTACACAAATTGAACCCACCAACAACAAGCTGCCTAAAGTCGATGAAGCCAAGATCCAACCAGTGGTTGTGATTAAACCAACAGATAATATCATCTCTGAGGTTTCAGACTTGTACAGTTTTAGCGAGAGTTTCTCGACGACGACGGTGACCGATAAAGGAGATAATGACGGAGAAGTGAACCAGAGAGTCGAGAGGTCCCCGCGAAGGTCTCAAAGAGAAGGCCGTCCTCTGGCGAAATCGCCGGAACGAGGGAGAGGAAACCCAGATCTCCGGCAAGGAGGCAGTCGCCATTGCCGAAAAGAAGCAACATCGCCGGATAAAGTCCCTTTTTCATGTTGGGGACGGCGGCAGAGAGAGAAAGAGAGAGAGAGAGAGAGGGGAGAGAAAAAAGAGAAAAAAAAATAATAATTAATTAATTAATTTTGGGTTTTTGGGTTGGGTTCGGGTTGAGCCCGAGCCCAACCCGAATATATCTGAGTTTTGACAAAACCCAACCCGAATATAAACCCGAGATTATATTATTATTATTATTATTTTTTTATCTGAATTATATTATTATTAAAAAACAACAAAATTTTAGGACAAATCATTTTAGCCTCCACAATCGCAGGTCTCATTCTCAACTCCCTGCAACTGCAACTGCAAACTACAAAATCTACAAGAATCAGAAATTCAAAACCCATATATTTTCAGATCTCAGTGTTAATTTTATTTATTTATTTTAAAACCCAGATGTGGTTCCTCCAAATCACCACCACCACTCGCCGGAATCTAATGCCAACTGCAGAGCTCCTCCTCTGCCGCCACCCGAAGAAGAAACCGTCAAAGAAGTTATAATACCCCTAGTTTTCAAAAGGATAATTTGGGAATTTTGATTGAGGATTTTATTGTATTTTTATTTAATTATCCGAATTGTGTGCTTGATTTCTTAATTGATTAAGTGAGTATTTATTTAAATTATATTTGTTTATTTATTTTAAAATTAATTGTTTAATTGGTATTTAGTGAATTTATTTTAAATAAATTGTTAGATTGTTATTTGGTTTAATTATTTGATTA